AGAAGTCCCGCTGGCCTTGTCGGCGGTGTCTTGCGTCGCTGACAGTCCCGGCATGTCCTCACATAACGAGTGACGTCGGTGGTAAGACGTGGCCAGTAGTACCTTTCTTGTATCCTCGCGAGCGTGCGGGAAACACCGAGGTGCCCTGCCGTCGGATCGTCGTGCAGGGCCTGCAGGAGTTCTGGTCGCAGAGCTGAAGGCACCACAAGGAGGTACTTAGCTCGAAGCGGTGAAAAGTTTTTCTTTTGTAGAAGACCGTTTCGTAGAAAGAACGACGCAAGTGCGCGCTTGAATACCTTCGGGACTTCGGCGGTCCTGCCTTCGAGGTATTCTATTAGGGCTTTAAGTTCCGGGTCGGCCCGCTGTCGTTCAGCGACCCAGCACCTCCACCAGATGTCACAGGGTCGTGACGTGGCCAAAGACAGAAAACTTCGTGTTGGGATTTAACTGTTTATTTGGGCGAACCTGTGCCCGGTAAAGGGAAAGTCTAATTACAGCAGCAGTCTTACACAGATAGCAGTCTCGGACTGATAGCGGCGAACGCAGCGTCGGCCTTCGATCAACAACTGACAAGCGGCGAAGCGCGTCGGCATTTATACCCCTTGCCGTCGAATGTTCTAGCGTTATCGCTGGCGGTGGCGTAGGTTCCAGAACAATCTGTACCGTTCGCACAGTGGGCGTGATCTTATCGAAATGATCTACTACAGTCCGGAACCCTCTAGAAACCTGCAGGCGCGGCTTGCGCCGAGAATCGTGCGGTGCTTCGGAACGATAACAAAAACTTGTGAAATGGGACGTGGCAATATAGACACTTGCCTGACCTCTACATACCTATATACGACACACGTTCGCATACCAATCAGTAGAACAGGAAAGGCACAAGTATTTATTGAAACGAAAAAGACCGCTCTAATTTAGATTGTGAGAAATAAAAATAACGTGAGTTCCAGCAAAAACCGTCAGAAAGCTCGCCGTGCCCGTTCTTTCCTTCACATGGGCCTCAACAGTGACTTATAACCATGTCTACGGTAGCGTTGAAGGTCTTGCAGGAAAGTCCAGATTGAGAACGGCGCAACTCGTTCATGTCGATGTCAATCTCTCATTCCATGTATTCTGGATCCTTCGTCTTCGACAGATCGATGCTCGTGATGAACATGGCTGCACTGATTCTCGGGCTTATCACGTCGTCCTACGCGATCTGTGCCCCGCAAATTCCAAACTGACGCTTATATTTGCTTTGGCTTTCTGTTAAGGCGCGTTTACACTGGAGAGACACGACAGTGACATGACCCCGGCGAAAACATGAGGCAGACGCAAACCATCGGCCGACGAGTCGCTCGCCGACGAAGGCGCCAAAACGCATGGTCACACTAAGCCGCTGACGACGACGACGCCTCAAAAGACAACATTTCATCGTAGTGTAAAATGATTAGAGACCGACAACACCATCAAAACGCATCCGCAGACCTGTCATCGGCGTGTTTTCGGGAGATCGGCGGCTGAGCGAGAGTTTGCCCCATGTCTTTGCTTCAAATGATTACGAATCGGGCAATCTTGAGGAGTTAACAATGCCCTCTCCAAGGCTTCCGCGGCGTCTGAATAGGCAGCTCGAGCACCCAACGAAAGTATTTTCTTCGCTTCTACATTCTGTCCACCATACCCATCCCTCGTTACAATGGATTATGGCGGGGGCTGCGCTGTGTAGCCGAAGAGGGACAATGGCAGATCAGGGAGCATGGCCGAAAATGAGGTACATGTGTGCAAGTTTAGTCAGTGTCACTGCGTGTGCCTTGAATGTGACTACAGAATTCGCTATTAAAAGACTGTGAGCACGACAAAGCGCGGGTGGGACTACCAGCGGACTGTTTGTGTGTTTGCAGTGTACCTAGACCAACGACAAGAAAAAAGACACTCCTAAAGACAGCCCACAGATTAACATCGGTGTCGTGGCTCTCTAGTGCAAACGCACCTTTAAAGGTGTACTGACATCAAATTTAAAGATCGAGATGTGCCCATCATTCGATCGCTTGCTATGCCTAGGACTTCTTGGCCAAATTTGAATGGCATCCGTCGCGTGAAAGTTATTTAAATTCGATTTCAAACATCGTAGAAAAGCTAAGAAGAAAAAAAAACGAAAAGTAGACTGCCCTGCGACGTCGACGCTAGTGCTACGTGTTCGGTGTGATACATTCGACAAGCACCATCCTGAGTGACGATACGCTAGTAACAGTGACGTCGAGGATCTGAGTGTGTTTGGAGCCGACTCTCGGCTGCGAGTTTACAAAGGCGAGCGGATGGACCACCCCCCCCCCCCCTCCACAATTCACTGCGCCAGGCGGACTCACGAGGCTCGCCTCCAGGCCATGCTCTCACTAATGGCTCTCCTTGCTGTGTTGAAGCGTGCGTGCAATTCATCGTGTCGCATCGACTGATTTGACATGTCCTCCGCAGCGTGAGTACGCTCATTCAGAGTGGCAATATGTGCCAGAATGTCGGGGAACCACTGCGCAATGAGAACCCGCATGTCGAGGAGTGGTCAAGGTGGCTATTGCGTGGCGTTTCATTCCTTTCCAAGCCACGAACCTCAACGCAGCCAGTGGGCTGACTTCGTATAGACGCCACGCCCATGGACAGAGGGACTGGACGCCTAAGAAGAACAACCGAATTTACTCGCTTCACTTTGCGCCGAGCTGCTACAGGGTAAATCTTGTGTTGGCGAACGAGTTGAGTTTCACTGGCAGTACGAGGCCCATTCTCGAGTCCGGGGCTAAAGGGAGAGGGGAAGAATGAGTTGGCGCTACTTAACCCAGCCGGCGGAAAAGGCATGGTTAGTCTACATCATAAGAGACATAGCTGGACTGACTGCACGTGCGCTCCTAGCATACACTCTACCTAGCATACAAAATGCCAGTGTGCATGAGGTCACTTTTTTGTGTGTGTGTGTGTGTGTGTGAAAGCCCCATCAGCTCTGGAGCGGCCTCGACGTGGCCGCGAGGTAGCGCGGACAGCACTAAAATGTGGCGGGCTTTCGACTGATTTTGAACCACGTTTGATAGCGGATATGTTAATTATAGAACTGATATTCATTCGTGCCTAAAATGCGTTTTAGGTCCAGAATCATTACTAGGGGGTCAATAGCTACTCGCTAACGCAAAAATCTTGATATGAGCAAATTTTATGCCAGTGGTCATGTAAAGACTTCGGCGACGACACTGCGCTATTTCCATGAATCGCTATCGAATTTTCGGCGCGTTAAGCTTAGCAGGCATGGTCAACAGCTTATCTCGCCAATACCTGTGCAGTGCCCCTCGTGATTTTTCCTGATCGCTGTATGGCATTACGCCATTCATTTGCTGGTGTGGGCGCTTTGGGCGAGCATCAAATTCGGATTGAAGTGGGTGGTCGCATCCGCGTGGGCGCTGCCATGTTGATCTTTAACCACAGAATTACAGAACAGGTTGTTACTTATTGATTGATATGTGGAGTTTAACGTCCCAAAACCACCATATGATTATGAGAGACGCCTTAGTGGGGGGCTCCGGGAATTTCGACCACCTGGGGTTCTTTAACGTGCACCCAAATCTGAGCACACGGGCCTACAACATTTCCACCTCCATCGGAAATGCAGCCGCCGCAGCCGGGATTCGATCCCGCGACCTGTGGGTCAGCAGCCGAGCACCTTAGCCACTAGACCACCGCAGCGGGGCGAACAGGTTGTACTGATACGCCGTAAATTATAACGAAGAACAACATATTACTTTTCGATTCACAGCAACAAGTGCTAAACAAGGGCAAATGTCTTAACCTGCCACTTGCAAGGCGATATATATAGAACTATGTCTTCCTTCACAAGGATGTGGCTTGCTTCACCCCGAAGATTTGGTAGCGTTAGTGGTGAGATATGAGTTACAGCGCACGTCCTAAGGAAAGCCGTCGGAGCGAAAATTGGATGAGAAATCATTACATTTCTGATAATTTTTCCGTGTATAATTTGATCAAGTTAAGTGCCACGAGAGTACAAATCGATATCAGGTATGGGGTTATTGGCTCCTTGCAAAAAATAAAATAAAATCCTGGCGACACCCATGAATAAAGTTTCGCACCCACCCCAAAGTGTGGTGCAATATTTCATGGGAATATTGAACCATATGGTTACCTATCAGAGAATGCAAACTTTTTGTTCTAGTTTTTACAAAAACTGTAGAATTATAGCATTGTGTTCTACAAAAAGATAAATGAAGGAAAAAATCTCTTACATGTTGTACAAAACTCTTACTTTTGTCACAGTGAGAGCCTATAAAGGGGCAACTGTCTTTAGAAAACAATGCCGAGAGATTTAGGACGATTTGAAGAAATATGAAGCGAGAAATGAAGAACATATATGGCATCACATAATTATGTCACGTCTGCAAGAATATGCCTGCTCGAGAAAGGTGCACGCTAGCATACACGCACAGGTAATATGATGAACATATCGATATCATGGTAGGACTCCCTCCCGAAATAAAATCCTGGCGATTCCCATGTACAGGCAAATAAAGTTTCGCACCCTCGCCCACCCGTGGTACAGTACAAATGTGCAACAACAAGGTGCAATCATATCGTCATTAAATTTAGTTGACTGCACTACAGCGTGAACGTTAATGCATCTAATCGCCCTGCTTGTGCACTGTCATATAAACAGTGTGAGCGGCGTGAATAAGTTTTTCACTTACCCTAGAAGTTTGCGATGGGCCATACTCGGGGTTAGCGTATCAGTCGTTGATTTTATTTCATGTGTCGTGTCTCTGAAAGCTATTCCTCGGTTTTCCCGGCATCTAACAATTATATACGTTAGCGTAATTGTTACAATGCTTTTGACAAAGTTTTATACTATGATTATTTGTGACTTTAGATTACAGTCAATTTTAGAGTGATCTTGAGCTTGTTTTTTTTTTCTGTTCTTCAAGCTTCGCCATACTTGGCGAGTTCTGTGAATACGTGTTCACTACCTTGTGAAAACATGGCGCTCCCCATGAGTTGTGCGTTGCGTCTTCTGTAGTAAGTCTGTAGTCGTGTTTTCATTCACTTCCAGCCATGTTACAGGGCTTGCTTTCTCAACGGGGCGCTTCAGGACTGGTGCTAATAAACGGTAATGTGCCACATAATACGAGAACGTTGCGATCGTTCTATTTATTTCAAAAGGATCTGGAAAAGTCTTTGACGGTCGCCTGTTTGCAGACACATTGGAGCAGCGAGGTCGCTTGATCGCGGATTCCTTCGCAAATACTTGGGCGAACAGGTTTGTACAATAAGACAATGTTTCTCAAGATCTATTTACAATCGTTCTAGTTATTTGAGTGTTACGACGCAACACATGCCGCTTGTTGTGTTGGTGCCGGCCCATCTGCGTACCTGCGTTAATTGGTTGCTGTTTCTTGAAAGTACTTTCGTGTGTTACAATTTCCGCACCTTTGAAAGGCATCCAAACAGTGGTTACTAGATTACTGCTCGCTATGGAAAACTTCTAACCAAGTGTCACATGAAACGCGCTGAAATGCTCGGACTACCTGGTATAATTGATTGATATGTGGGGTTTGACGTCCAAAATACCACCATACGATTATGAGACGTGGTATAATACACTTACCAAAGTTATTCGTCATTTTTGTCTTTGCTCATGGGTTATAGTTTGAATGCAGTTTTACAACAGCACTATATATATATGACACATTTGACGCTACTTAATTTTAGCTGCAAAATGTACCTACTTTTGGAGTGTCTGTAGTCAAAAGTGTGCGACGTACGTTTACTGGCCTCACTCCCAGCAATTCACCGTCACAAAATCAGTGTTTCGAGAAAGGCGCGCATATTTATTTCAAAAGAATTCAGTATGCAGCCGTAAGTACTCTTAAATGAAATTTGGAAAATTATTTCTGTGGCACCTAACACGAAAACTCAGCCAAGCACAGAAATAACTGCACTTATATGAAAGGTGATATAATTTCTCAAAAATTATTTATTGTCATGCGCACCATACTACGAAAACGAAAAAGTCATAACTGTAGTAACAAGAAACTGTTTATATAAAATTTGAGAGCGTTAGTTGTGACGAGCAAGGTAACTTGTGCATCGTAGATTACGAGTGCACAATCTCGAAAATACTACTTTCATTGGTGCTACACAGCAGAACAAATCAAGGTGCGCAACACAGGTTTTTTCCTCTTCAGTTATTCTGCTTCATGTGAGACTGCTGTTCTGCTTTCATCGCTAAGAATGCTCACTTGCTATCATTCTGCACAATTCTTCTTTTATCGTCTTTAGTCAGCCTCGTTGCTACCTTGACCAAGGCAGCTTTACAAGTCATTTGTTGCATTAACTGAGAACCAACACGACAAGTAAGTTGGGACAGGATGCCTAGTATCCCGTTTTGTCTTTTTCTTCTTGTTTTTTTTCTTGATTATCAGTTTGTACTACAAACCTTTTGATGAACTATGCATCAGCTCAACCAACGTAATGCTCTGCTAAAGCATGGCACCTTTTTCTTTGTGCCTGCTCCTTTTCTTCTATACTGCTGTTCCCATTGCGTTGTCTCTTTTTCCAATCTCGGGTTGTTTTCTCAAAGTCTTTTATACTTTTATATTTTACGTGTTCATAACAGCTCTTAAATGTGTAAATTCCCTGTGTGTGCCTAGGAATACTGAAGTTGTGGAGGGGCCCTCACGTAAAAAAGCTTCGTAGCTATTTGTAAATGTATGGTGGTTTGTTGGAATACATTTTGCAAAAGAGGTTTTACGCCTCAGGCTTTGGTAATCTCAAATTTACTCGAGATTAAAGAGAGAATAAGTTCATATAGAAGGCACACCAATCCGTGACTTCTTGCCCATGCTGAGCTTCTCAGTACAGGTACGGGAAACGTGCATCATGTTATGGGATGCGACACTGCTGAACACTTCTCAATTGCCTCAACTAGTTTGAAATTACATTTGCATACGTTACTATGCAAGCAAGCAGACAGTGGTCGGTCAAGTGGCACAGCAACCACGTTGTTCAGCTGAATTGCTTATGTATGGTCACACTTGTTGCACATTAAAATAGGCATAATTTATAAATAATTGCTCCTGTGCCCAACTCTGACTTCTAAGCTTTTGTTGTAGGATTAGGTAGATGTCATCTATGGTGTAGCATCTGCTTAGCCATTTCAGTTTCGTAGCCTTTCTAGTTCAGTTACCTTCTTAGTTCAGTGTGACATGTATGCTATACGAAATCTATTCGAAATTACATGTACTGATTTCATCATAAATTATCTCAATCTTCCGGCCTCTCCTATCCCTAGCCATTCTTTCTTTTTTTGTTATTATTAAAGGCATGTCACTTGAAAATTTTTATTACTTATACATGCTATTTTTCTCTATCAGGGGCCACAATGTGCACATCTTGAGTTACGACAGGGAAGAAAGCATAATCAGAAAGTGCTTTCCACCTAGCACTATTGACAGGTATGTTGATGTATGGCTTCAGTTTAAAGCTTTGGTAGCTTTAAAACACTGGTTTCTATGTTTTGTGTTTGTAAAGCCTAAAATCTGCCTGGAATAGATGACCGAAAATTAGTTTCTAGGTATGTTTTTGTTGTGGTGTAAAACTATCTAATGTTCATAAAAACATGATAGAGCTTAATTAAAATAATATGGTGCTGGAAGTCAACTCACATAAAAAAAAAAAAAAGATGTAAATTGCCTTGAGCCACTAGTGGTGTCACTTTCACAAGGTACGCATGTTTCTTAAAGAGAGTATCGAGCTGTCAAGCCTCAGCCCTAACTTTCAGATGAAATTGATTCATTTTTATCTAGAAATGTGGTAACTTTTGTACTTGCCAATTCTCTTGCTAGTCACTTCGTTTGTGACTATAACTTCAATGCTTGCAACACAGGAAGTCTGTGGTTGCTGTTGTGATTGCCAACTCTTGCTTTTTTATGAAAAAAATTGAAAAATGCTTCTTTGTTTCTTTATGATACCTGTAAACCCAGATACACACATTGACCGAATGCTTTTTAGCTACCACACAAGCACGTCTGAAAGGATAACGCCATGAAAGTTTGCAGTTGGGATAGTAAAGCTGTCCAGTTTGGAACTGTAAATGCATATCCATTGTAGTTTTTTTTATGCATTTTCATGCAAACGATAAAATAAATGAGCAAGGGTGCTTCATTTATATTTTCTATAAAGTACAGTACAGATAAAAATAACGGACTGACATGAAATATGTCCCTGGTAAATGAGATGGAGTAACTGTTCGGAAATACCTTGTTTGTTGAGGCCATTTCCCTTGCTTTTTTTTTCTTGTAATGAGCCTCTTAGCAAGCAGAGGCATTCAATAGTTTTGTTTCATCACAATGACCCATGCGTTGCATGCATGCTAGTCTTATTGCTTACATAATGAGTTTTACTGTCCTCTTAGAAACAACGCTTTTAACAATTTTTTCAGGATTTTCATTCACGACGCCTTTTGCGCTCCAGAAAAATGCAGCCCATCAACGTGGGTGGAACATTCAGCAAGGAGACCGAACCTTTCACAATGGTCATCGACTCTCTCTCGACGGCCCTTGTTTATCACCCATTTGATGACATCTACGTGGGCCTTTTGTGCCTGCTGCGAAAGATTAAATGTGAGTCTGCTCATTTTTGTCCATATAGTGTGGATTTATTCTTCAAAGGTCAATCTCAATTAAATTTTGCTCATTAGCTTAGTTTAGTCATGAACAGTAGTAATTACATACTACTGAAGCAATCTTATGGAAGTAGCAGTGCCAGTGATTTTGTAATTTTTTGTTATCATCGTTTGAATAGATCGTAAGCAGACTACACGTCTCTTTGCCCGCTGTCCCACACACAAAAAGAGTGTTTTTGGCTAACTTCCTTTCATTCAGAAGACGCCAGTGACTTACTTTAAAACTCTGCATCCATTGCCATGGATCAGGGACAATTTCATTTAGCAAACGAGTACTATGCAGGTCACAGCTTTGGCTCATGGCTGCCGTGCAATTGACACAGCTGCAGTATCATGTGAAATGGGAAAAACAAGACATTCTTGCATACTGTAATGAGCAGTAAGATACTTAGTGATTGCATTTAATGCAGGACTGATGCGACCATATTGGAATAGGCCAGTAAGTTCAGATCCACTAAAGCCAGTGAAGAATCATGAAGCAAACAGAAGTAAATGGACGGATTGTTCATAAACTGCTGAGAGCAAGCAATATATATTCATATTTCCAGCAATCTGGCTGAAACCTCTCAGTTGAACTTGTGATGTACATTGCCCAGTGCACATTCACGGGCTTTTTTGTAGATGTGTCATTTAATTGAATATCCAGAGGTATAACTATAAGAAAACAACTTTTCTTTTATTGAAACACGGCCTTATGCTGGGGATTGACGACTGCCTTTTCACGCTACTTGCTGTATGACAGTCAGCATTCCCACAAACAATCTTGCTTCGTGCTCACCTGCATGTGCATTAATTCTAATTTTGATTCGTTCAGCGTGGCATTGAAATTAAACGATTTGGAATGACTGAAACTTCTACAAAAGACGACGGCTCTGCTACTTGAAGTGTACGGCCTCACACAAGCCATGACAAAATGAAGGATGCCAGCAGTAGGCGGGGTGTATAGCCCGCAACCTCTAGAGCTTGTTTCGCACTCAAATAATATTTTACAGGTCATTTGTCACATTAAATAGGCACAGTAGATATCTTACTTCTATTTTTTTGCTAAAATATGCAAATTCTTGAGTGGTTGTGTCATGGCCCCTTTAGCCCACATGAACCTTGTCAAAGGCATTATTAATACTTGACAATGTTTGTTGATTTTCCTCTTTTTTTATAGTCAAGGCAATGAGCATAAGTAAGCCCCCGAAACTGCACTTCATGAGTGGAGCACTGTTACTCTTTGAGTGTTTTTGGATTAAATTTATGGCAGCAGTTTTCTGTCCCATAGTGTCTTTGCCGTACGGGCACGTTTTCAACCCTCCACTTGAAGTGTCGCCCCGTAATGATGCTCCGTACTTAATGGGAGGTGCTGCCACCACCTAGGATTTACAAGAAGCATTATAAGTGATTGTGCTACCTCCTTGCAGAGATAAACAGAGAATTACAGATTTCTATAGCCAGCATATCACGTGGTCTGCGAAACGCCGGCTTACAATGCCTTTTTGTGGTTTCGGTTTCCCCTCGCGGTCACGACAGAGACGTGAGAAACTTGATCTTTGTCTTTATCGGCATAACCTTGAAAGGGTGATTGAATTGAAGTTGATTTTCATCTTTATTGGTGTTGCTCTTAGCTCGTTTACCCCTGACACTCTTGAGGTATTCCTGTTCTTTTGGTTACGTAGTTTACTGTGCTCCATGGCAGCCACACGCAGAGAAAATGCGATGTGCTTGCCAGCACACAACTCCTCGCTCCAAGAAAAGAACTGAGATGCGTTTTATATGTGCAGATGATGATAAATCGCTGTGACCAATGTTTAAAGACTCACGGCACTCTGAAATGCTATTGAGCATTTTTCAGTTCTAAGTAATGCTGACATCAAAATACTGTGCCTCATTTTTCTTACTATCATTTCCAAATGTAACACATTTCATGCATTCAAATGCTGCAGTAAAGTAATTCGACCATTTGGGAATGCTTTTCTTGAAAAATTCGACACTTGGAGCGTTAATATCCTGCCAGTCAAAATGAGCCCTGTGGTACATTAAAGAACCTCTGGCTATTCTTAATTCTGTTACATACATCCTCGGTTTGACAGTGTAAGAAACCAAGAGAGTAGGGATTCTGTGGGCCTGACTAATCACTGTTATAAATAGTTTCTATGTTTTGTGGATTTGTAAGCAGCATATCAGCTTGCACGAGATGGGGCGAATTGCCCCGCCACGGCGGTCTAGTGGCTAAGGTACTCGGCTGCTGACCTGCAGGTCGCGGGATCAAATCCCGGATGCCGCGGCTGCATTTCCGATGGAAGTGAAAATGCTTGTAGGCCCGTGTGTTCAGATTTGGGTGCACATTAAAGGACCCCAGGTGGTCGTAATTTCCGGAGCCCTCCACTGCGGCGTCTCTCATAATCATATGGTGGTTTTGGGACGTTAAACCTTATGTATCAATCAAGATGGGGCGAATTCTAGGGTATCGGAAGAGAGGTGCTCGTCCTGATGTGTACATTGAATAAGCTGATGATCACGATGATTATGATATCGAAGCGCTATATATAACGCAGATCTCATTGTTGTCTCTCTGCTTCTTATGTTACATTCTTTAGCAGTATTTTCTGATCATCTTGTAACCAGACCAAATGCACATGCTTTTTTGAATGTAGCTTCAAGTATTCATAAGAGAAATCTATGACGGGCCTACATTGGTTGAGGAAGTGCATACAGTAACAACATTGAAGAATAAAATCTTCATTCGTTTGAGTAGTAGTCGTGTGTAACCCTGTTATGTCGTTTCCATTTTTTGTCATTGAGAGGTAAATGATATGTGCTGCTTACGTAACTACAGTGCACGGAAAAGTGACCTGTGTTCCCATCGTCATCCTGCGAAGCTTTGTTTTATACCTTTCGCAGGAAGTGTCAGCTGACCCCAACAAACATGCTGCAAGAAATTCAATGTCTTCATTACTTCATGATCGCTTCTGATGCGTCCTCTGCCTTGCCAGCCTTGCAGATAATTGTGGCTCTCCTCCACGCTGATGTGCACGAGGAACACGAGGTCGACAAGTTGTGCTATCTAGCCACCACCACTCTGGCACCCTACGTGCGTGACGGTGGAAGCACACTCGGATGCAAGACTGTTCACAGGAAGCCAGGAGGACGTGTCGTTAGAGAGGTAAGAGTGCTTTCGTGTGCTGCTACTCTATCGGCACAAATACAAATACAAAAGATGATGTCACAAAACAAAGGTGACTCTAGCAGTCTTGAATCTGTGAGAGCAGCCATTAGGTTATGACTTAGTATGTCTGGCTATGCAAAAAGTGAATGTTTCAAAAATATTTTATTCGTGCGAGACACAAGCAACAGGTTTACCTTATAATAGTGTTGCGAGTGACTGTGTTTATTTACAGATGAGGTGAAAAGGCGTTGTGAAATAGCAGCGTACTTCTGAGACAGGCCAAGAACGCTTCCACCCAACCACACAGTCCAGGCGCCGCTCCACTACTCTTCTTCTTCTTCCGCGCTCCGTAGGCTCGCGCATCTTCGTTTCATTTCCCCCGGCGGCAGACGAAGCTCGCCGAGCGAGTTAAATAGGCCTATGATGGTACTGTTTGAGGCGGGCTACGTGAACAACTTGCGTAGTGCGCGAACGCCGGTTATTGGCTGTGACTCGGGCGACAACGTAATTCACGTCACTGAGACGAGTGACTATCACGAATGGGCCGGAATAGTTAGCTAGAAACTTCCGGTACAATCCTTGTCTACGAACAGGAGTCCACAGCCACACGTAGTCACCAGGAGAAAACTCTACGGGGATATGCTTGGCATCGTAGCGACTCTTGCTGTGTTCTTGCGAAGACAATGTTCGAAGGCGCGCTAGTTGACGTGCTTCTTCAGCGCGACACAACGTCTGAGCGATGGACAGATCTTCCTGATGCGAGAAAGGTAATAGAGTGTCTAGAAAACTCTGTGGATTTCGTGCGTAAAGCAGAAAGAAGGGTGAATGTCCAGTAACTTCATGCTTGGCGGTGTTATACGCGTAAGTAACAAACGGTAAGACGGCGTCCCAGTTCCTGTGGTCAGCATCAACGTACATCGATAACATATTCGTGAGAGTTCGATTTGTTCTCTCAGTGAGACCGTTAGTTTGCGGATGGTAAGGGGTGGAGTGGCGATAAGAGGAGCCACAGAGGCGCAAAATTTCTTCACCCACATCGGCCATAAATATTCGTCCCCGTCACTGATGACAACCCGTGGAGCACCGTGACGCAGTATGACCCGTTGTAACAGAAAAGAAGAAACAGCGGCTGCTGTGGCCAATGTCAGTGCGTCCGTTTCCGTATAACGCGTTAAATAATCCACGCACACTATAACATATCGGTGGCCCGATGGAGTCTTAGGAAGGGGTCCGAGCAAGTCTATGCCGACTTTTTCAAAAGGGGATGTCGGTGGAGGGATGGGCTGCAAATAACCCGCCGGGGCAGTGGTGGATGGCTTGTGGCGCTGACATATAGCGCAGCTGGTGACGTACTGTTTTGTGGTCTTCCACATTTTTGGCCAGTAGAACCTCTCACGTAGTCGATGCAGCGTACGTGTGAAACCGAGATGACCTGATGTTATGTCATCGTGCGCAGAACGAAGGACGACCTGGCGCAGGCTTTCCGGCACTACTAGAAGCAACGGGAGGCCATCGGCTGAATAGTTTCTTTTATACAGCAAGCCATTTGAAATTTTAAAGTGCTTGTCGACGGAGTTATGTGCAGCTTCGAGCAAAGGTTTCAGAGTAGGGTCGCGCTGCTGCTCACGTTTGAAGCTGCTGGTATCTGGGAAGTCGGACGAGACAGAAACTAAATAGTCATCAATGTCATTGTCGTCAGCCTTGGTGTGTACTGAAGGAAGGCGGGATAAGCAGTCGGCATCTGTGTGACATCGTCCGCTCTTATAGGTAACAGAAAAGCTGTACTCTTGGAGGCGCAACGCCCAACGAGCCAGCCGGCCAGACGGGTCACGAAGTCCCACAAGCCAGCATAGTGAGTGGTGATCGGTCACTATTGTGAACTCGCGGCCATGTAGATACGGTCGGAACTTCTGAATGGCAAAGACGACTGCTAAGCACTCGAGCTCGGTGACGGTGTAGTTCGTCTCTGCTCTGGTCAGTGTCCGACTGGCATATGCTACGACATGCTGGCGACTGTTGCAGAGTTGGACCAGCACAGCACCAACACCTAGCCCACTAGCATCAGTATGAAGTTCAGTCAAAGCATCAGGATCAAAATGCTTTAGGATGGGTCCTGAAGTCAATAAAAACTTCAGCTGTTGAAATGCAGCCTCACATTTATCATCCCACAAGTACGGTGTGTCTTTATGAAGAAGGGACGTCAGTGGGGAGGCAAGTTGTGCGAAGTTCTTAATAAATCGGCGGAAATATGAGCACAGACCCAGAAAACTTCGCAGGTCCTTCACTGTTCGTGGTGGTTCAAAGTTACGAACCACTGCGGTCTTCTGTGGGTCTGGTCGCACGCCTTCTTTATCCACGAGAAAGCCTAATACGAGGGCTTGACGTTCTCCAAAATGACACTTCTTTGAGTTTAAAACAAGGCCAGCTTCGCGTAAGCATTCAAACACAAGCGACAAGCGGTGGTTATGCTCTTGAAAAGTCTTGCCGTAGATAATCACGTCATCTAAATAGCACATGCAAATTTCCCATTTTAGTCCACGGAGTACTGTATCCATAAATCTCTCGAATGTCGCTGGAGCATTGCACAAACCAAAGGGCATAACGTTGAACTCAAAGAGACCGTCTGGTGTTACGAAGGCCGTCTTCTCTTTATCTGAGGGATGCATAGGAATTTGCCAATACCCAGAACGCAAGTCAACAGAAGAAAAATAGGAGGCAGAATGCAGGCAGTCCACGGCGTCATCTATACGTGGCAAAGGGTAGACGTCTTTTTTTGTGATGGCATTTAGGCGACGATAGTCTACGCAGAATCTCCATGAATTATCCTTTTTCCTCACTAGAATGACAGGAGCTGCCCATGGACTACACGATTCTTGTATGACGCCCTTCTTTAGCATGTCTTCAACTTGCTCAGCGATGACTTTCCTTTCGGAAGGCGAGACACGATAGGGCTTCTGGCGTATTGGTGGTGCTTGGCCTGTATAGATGCGGTGTTGCGTACGTGAAGACGGTGGCGTAACGGTAGACGTCTCGTCTTGGGCAAAGTCAAAGACTGAGGCGTAGCGTGTGATCACCTCCTGCAGCAGCGACCGTTCAGTTGATGGAAGTGACTTGTTAATCATACGGTCAATGCTGGCAGAATACTCGCGGTACGAGTTGGCGTGGGGTTTCTTTACATCCACCGACAGTTGGAGTGACCGTATGGTAAGAGTACTTTGCTCTTGAAAGCTTGCCAATTTAAGTCCTGCAGGCAGATATATGGGCTGCGCGGAAACGTTCACAGTCCACAAATCGGCACAACCATCGACGATGAGCACGAGGCAACGAGGCACAATAACGTTTTTCTTAAGGCGTTACTGAAGTTCGGCTCGGCTAAACCATAGTAAGAACCCGCACAAGAACGCGAAGAGTTTACACGCACAAACATTGCGGTATGTGGGGCCAAGCAGGACGTCTTCAGACACGGAAAACACTTCCAAGCAATCATCAACGGTATCTTTTGTCAATGGAGGCGGCAACACGGGACGAAAAATAATCCCACCACTACCACAATCTAGAGTTGCACCACATTCCCGCAAAAAATCTATACCTAGAATGACGTCATGGGTCGCTCGTGCAAGCACCGTTAGTTCCGCTCGAAACGTTTGATTTCCTATAGAAAGTAAAACAGAACAAACTCCAACCGGGCTCAACGTTTCTCCCCCTACGCCGCGGAACGTAGCACTCCGATTCCAAGCAAACATTACTTTCGTCCCTAGGCGATTTTTAAAAGACATGCTCATTATGGAAACGGCAGCACCGGTATCAACTAGTGCAACAGTACTCACATTGTCTACAAAAACACTCACTTTGTTCTCAACCATTACAACACAAGGGGGTCTTGCGGAAGATGATTTTGCGGCCTCGCCCCCATTGGTCGCACCAGTTAGTTTCCCAGTGGTGGTGGCGTCCCCGAGCGGCGACGCGGAGACGGGGATCGCTGTTGGCGTGCTGGTGGTGGGGTAACGCTGCGGTCGGAGCAAGGCGAGTCAGCACGTGCTGCGTGTTGCTGTTGGAAAGAGCCCTGAAATGGTCGAGACTCGCCAGCAGGTACATAGGGCGTGTACACGTTGAAACGTGGAGCTCGCTGCTGGCGACGGTAGCAGTACCTAGCGATGTGTCCAGGTAGCCCGCAGTTGTAGCAAGTACGGGTGTCGCGTCTAGTCGTCCCCGGCGAAGTAAACCTCGTCGGTTGATAAAAGCCGGGCGATGGTGGTCGAGGAGTGAATCGCTGTGACGCAGCTTGCCGGCGTTCTTGGTTTCCGAGTGGTCGTTCACTCCTCCGTTCGAACCGATCGGTGTAATTCGGGCGAGGCTCAAAGTAGCTCTGTCGCATCCGAGGTACCAGTGGTTCACGGGGCCGTTGGTCGAATGCACACTGATGGCAGACACTAGCGGTGTCCACAGCTTGCAGTTGAGCAAGTTCTTCCTTAACCACTCGTCTTATAAGAGAAGAGAGTTGTCAAGACGTCCAAATTTTGGTAGGACTCTCCTCCTCTTTAGGGTTTCAAACGCTCGGCAGTGTCTCCTTAGGTCGGAAGGTGTGTGTAAGTCTTCCTTAGTGATAAGGAAATTGTACACGTCTTCCGCGATTCCCTTGAGGAGATGACCTACCTTATCTTCGTCACACATGGTCGCACTCACGATTCCGCAAAGCTTCAAGACGGCCTCGATGTAGGTGGTGCATGTTTCGCCAGGTAACTGAGCTCTGCGTGAAAGCGTTTGCTCCGCCTGCTTGACCTTAGCTGTTGAGTCACCAAAACACCTCTTCAGCTCGTCCACGAAAATGTCCCATGTGGTCAATGCACTCTCATGGTTGTCGAACCAAAGAGACGCGGTGCCGACGAGAAAAAACACCACGTTCTCGAGCTGTTTAGCAGTGCTCCAGCGGTTGCTGCGACTCACTCTTTGGTAGTGCTTGAGCCAGTCGTCAACATCGTCATCCGGCTGCCCCGAAAAGGTCCTCGGCTGACGTTCCGGCATGCCGCAGCGATGTTGTCCTGGCGGGTGAGCGTGTTGCTCATCAGCAACGAGGTTGTTATGGCCTGCTCCCGCGTCCTCCATGTCTGGTAGCTGCGGTGGCAAGCCTGCCAAGCGTCTGCTCCGTCGCAAAATCGGTAGAGCTGGGTCGTCCAGATCGATGTACCCGGCACCTTCCACCAAACTGTTGCGAGTGACTGTGTTTATTTACAGATGAGGTGAAAAGGCGTTGTGAAATAGCAGCGTACTTCTGAGACAGGCCAAGAACGCTTCCACCCAACCACACAGTCCAGGCGCCGCTCCACTACTCTTCTTCTTCTTCCGCGCTCCGTAGGCTCGCGCATCTTCGTTTCAATAGGTCAACTTTGCGGCAGAATGGCCCATCTTCATGGCCTGTCAGCATGTTATAATGGTGCCTAATGGTGCCCACAAAGGGGGTCAGCAACCCAGCAACAAGTTTGACCAACAAAATTGCAGTATGTCATTTATACAATGTGTTGTTTTGTTTCTTCTGTTTGTTTATTCTTTTTGTTTTATTTATCCTTTTGTAACGATTTGGGCAGCTGTTTATAAGGAATAAAAAAAATGTGCTTGTTCATTGTGAACTTTGCAATGATGATGCAAATATTTCTCTTTAGGTTAGGCCATCCGTTGTGCCAGCATAAAATGATTCATGTTTTTTTTTTTGTCACGATTTTGCCGAGAGCTTTTCCTTCCATCTATACTTTCTTGTTCTGAGTTGCAATAGATTCTTGTTCCAGAACTGACATTTATATATATCGTTTTTAACGTTTATTCATATTTTTTTTACAGTTCCACAAGACACACATAGGTCCCCCATATTGCCAGGTTGGACCAGCTAGACACCCTATTTCTTACAGAAGTTCAACAAATGAGACTTAACTGTGGTTCTCACAAGAGCATCAGCCTTATTAGCATCTACAGATTTAATAAACGAAAGATATTTCTCACTTTCCTTTTGGTTAGTTCATCCATCAATTGCATGTGTAAAACATTATTATGATGTCTAAAGGCATTCTAGGATCATTTGCCGAGACCTAATTAGGTTTAGTTGAGATTGCACGACGCCAACAAACAATGACACTTGGAAAATCACAGGGGAAGGTCACTTGTTTTTAAAATTGAATTGTCGTAAATATAATTTGGAGTATGCTAGGGCTTTGGTTTCAAGAGTAGAATGCAATAGTGTAATTGGACCTTGTTTGTATTGCCTTCCCAATCACTAGCCTGGCTTCACGTGTCAGCGGAGACCTGAACAGTGCCGCAAGGCAAGTAAAAATGCAGATGCTTTCGGAGTCCGATATCCATGCATGCAGCGCGATGAAACACGACTACACTGTGGGGCAATGTGGTTTAAAATCGCTGCCAAGGGCCCTTTGAACCATCGCACGGATGTTATGCTGAGCCGCTGAAGAACCCGCGAGAAGTGCGTGCCACCAATGCTAAATGGTGTGTATGAATAGCTCACCATTTGTGTGCTAGAGGATTTAGGTGGCCAAGTGGCTAGACGTATCCGGCCACAGAGCAAGAGGTTGCAGGTGTGAATCTCCCGTCCCACTTGAACGAAAGATTTTTTGACTGTATTTTATTTGCGTCTACCTCAAATTTTCGCTCAGGGACAATGCTGATTTTTCGCTCACATATACAGGTGCCGACACCACTGACACCGACACTGGAATTTTCATGAAACGAGCTTTTGCGCTATTGCGTTAATAATACAGTGAAAAAACACGACAGCACAACTTGCTGTGGGTGCGAGCTAATCCATTCCATACGAATATATACAAATACGAATCGGCTGCTGTTACTGGTGTTATTCTCCCAGTCTCTGTCTTGGTTATTTGTGTAGTTGTACGCAATCTGGTCATTGGAGTACTAGCCTGTGACATTTACCGTCATGGTGGCGGCTGTAGAACATTCATTCAAATACAGGCATGATGTTAATTATTTAATGCTAACAATAGGGAAGTGGCAAATTACCGTTATGGGTACCTTATTGATTGAAAGTTTTGAATCATGTACTGTAGTAGGTTATTGGAATGGTCAATCTAGCACTAATGGCATCGTGTGTTTCCTTTACTTTTTTACTCACTTCCTTTCAATCTCAAAACGACTACTACTTTAGTTGTTTCTATTAAATTGAAGGTTAAAACCAGTTTTCAGTTATTAAAATTGAGATATTTTTCTGTCTAATGGAGCAGTTCTGATGATTACATTGTCACCGTTCAATTGCATTTCTTCAGGATGAAGAGTTTGTTCTCAAGCCAGACCTTTCAATTACTGACATCAAGAAGATTGCTGAAAAGCATGATGCTAAGCCCGTGGTGAGCGCATATTCACAAGCATTTTATTCGCACGCTTGTTGCTTATGCTGCAGTTGTAAAAAACACTGTAAAGTAATTGTGATGGCAAAGGTCATATTTTCTAATGACTTTTGTGTGTGCAGTAAAATTATGTTAACTGCAGCTGGATCGATTTCTTGATTCACCTGTTTCCCCCGCCCCCAAAAAAAAGGTTCCAGCTTGCATTCATTCATTTTTATGAGCAAAAACTTCCAATATCTAAATCATAATATTACCTTTTGCTGTTCAATTACAGCTTAACTGATCAGCACACTTGTACCTGATTCAATCGGCAGCAGCATTTTGCTATGTTATGCTTTGATACAATAACAAATCGAACACTTTTTCCTCTGAAAATAGCAATTTCCAGTCAAACTTATGTCAGGGTCGTACTACGAAAACTCTATTAGAAATTGTTACACACTTTGAAAACAGAAGCATTATAACTTCATAAATCACGTGACCAACATGAAATTCTGGTAAACTCCTGAATTTCTCACAGAAAACCAATGAGCAACTGGGATGATTTGTAATCATTAAATTAAATATGAAGCAAATGCTACTGAGCAACATAGAGTGGTTAGTGCGCGCATTCCGGGCCTTGAACATTCTTGACAAATAAAAATTACGCTACAACTGCTGCTAAATGTTTGACATGTAGATGAAATTATAAGTGATGTCATCTGAATATTTTCTGGAAATATGTACGAGGTTCGGGCATAAACGAAAAATATTTGGTCACCCTTGATACAGTCAAACTTGGCTACAACGAAATTCATGGGGATCGTGAAAAATTTTGTTAGAGCGGGAATTTTGTTTATTGTGGAAGAATTGGTAAATAAAGACAAAAAGATATGCATGACACTTAAGGGAGCAGTTTACTTTGAAAACTGAAAAAAATCACTTATTTTTGACTGCTTGCACTTTCGCACGAGCAACGGCAGAATGTGCTGCTCATATTCTGTGAGGAGGTGCATGGCGACATCCTCGTCATGGGTGCCAAGAAAGCAATGCAGGATGTCCAAAGAGTCCATGACCTGCGACGTAGTCAGTGGTGTCAGGACCACCAGAACACCATGCGTGGTTTTCTTGTCGTCCAATGAATTGGCAGTGGCTGTAGCCATGCGAGCACCCCTGAGGATCTTGGCATCACTCAGCTCCTCGCACATGATCACATCTGCTTCAACATTAACGTAATCGCTCAGGACAATGCTCTTGGTACATTGCCGGCATTCTTGAGAGCTGCCCATGCTGCAGAAACGTTCGTGTCTTGCCTCGGTTCAATGTTGTTGGCAGCTTGTGTCATTACTTGTGCCAACCAAGTTCATCTCTTCAGGCCAAAACCCCGCGTGTGCAAAACAGTTCTTAACAATGTCATGCCCTGTCGACATCCATGCGGCGGCCAACATTTTCATAGCCATGAACAAGTCGACTTCGGTGTCGTGGCCATGCTCTGTGTTCAACAGAGTTCGCTGAAGAAGCCTTGATCGGTATGCTTACTTTGAGCTGTTGGTGATGCCTTGATCTAAAGGCTGAATCAGCGACATGCAGTTCGGCGGAAAAAACTCCAACGCAACGTTCGTCAGCTTGATGTTGCTGCCCAGGTGATGTGCCGAGCAATTAACAGCAGCAAACAAACCCTACAGTCTTGCTTTTTATGTTGTTGTCCCTCGTCATCCATGAGCGGCTTGGCAACATACTTCACTGGCAGGTTTTTTGTGCCCTTGAAGCACCACAGTTCGGCACTCTTGCCTATAACAAGAAGGGGCTGTTTGTCGGACCCGTTTATATTTGTGCAGAGCAACACGGTGACTCACTTTTTGCTCTGCTTGCCTCCATGGCACTTTTAGCCTTTGAAGTGGAGCGTCTTTGCTGGTAGCATTTCATAGAAGAGCCCGATCTCAGCCGAATTGTACACATCGGACGCAGCGTACTTCTCGACTATGTGAGCAGCGATCGGTGCGATCCATGATGACGGACTGTCGCAGTCTGCAGAAGTGGACTCTCTGCATAGCACATTCCTTACAATCTCATGGCGCTCCTTCAATTGGTTGAGCCACCCGGCACTTGCCTTGAAGATTTTGTTGATGCCTAAAATGCAGGAGTAGTTCAGTGCTATCTTCTGAATTAGGTACCACTGATCGGTACCTTTTTAGCCCCAATTTCGCAAAACCAGGCATACACTGCCTTGTCAAGTTCCTCATGGGCTGGCTGGGTCATCTTCGTTGGCTGTTAGGCAGATGTGCCCAACGCTAACGCATTTAAGATGCTCGGCGATATTCCTTGGCGATACATCCCTTTTTTCGTCGTGCTGCTGCTGCAGCAATTATTTCCACCTTCTGCTCTAGCGAAAAAAACTTCAGTTTCTTACTCTCTGGCATCCCCACAAGCTCTCGCTATCCGTGGACCGAGGGAAAACAATACACAGGTTGAAGCTAACAATGTGCTGGACAAATGATCTACTGAGCTAGGGGGACGAGGAATGAGGCACGGAATAACCAGAACTAACACTGTTAATGCCACACAACATGTGGGGAAAAAAAATGAGCCAGCAGCCAATATCCAACGTGTGAATTAGGCTCGGCTTTCGCATGCTACACGAAATGCTGCTGTGTCATGGTTTTGCAGAATTCGGCGGGTTACATGGGCTTAGGTCAACTTTGGTATATTTAGGATCATTTTAGCTGTCCGATAACCAAAAAAATGCTTAAATTAGACTCTGAACGTGGCCCAGCTAATAATGATTTCCCATTAGATACAGCACGAGAAAATAAATTTCAAAATACAACAGCCGCTGTCAAGTGTACTTTTTTTTCGTGCCCTTTTTAAGGATAACAAGAGGTGTCACTTCAATATACTATTTAGCGTGGCTCGATTTGTGGCTGGTCAAGTAAAATTTTGTTGAACCGGGAGAACAATGAAAAAGTGGTTCATTATAGGTAGTTTTAATGCATTAGTTTAATGCATCAAAGCTTATGGGATGCGAGCAGAACATCAAAAAACATTTGTTGAAGCGGAAATATCGTTGTAGCGGAGTTTGACTGTGTAGTATTAAGTGCCTGATTAATTCTGGTGACATCATAAGCATAAGAACGTCAGTAAGATCTATTTTTCAATACAAGTTTCATAAAATCATCAAGACATTTTGCTGCAGCTTGAAGAATGCTTATGACCTGGCTAATTAGGGTGACAGAAGTTCAATGCCTAGTGTGGATCTCGGTGGTCATGTCTCAAACATTTCAACACACTATTACGAAACACTTGTAGCCGCATAGAAAAGTTATTGCTACGTAGTAATGTGAAGGCACATGAAGTGAGGACTGCTTATCTTGCAAAAACTTACCCAGCCATTATTTCTCTGGAAATAAGTGCTTTTTGATACTACTTCATTTGTTCAAAATTCTGGTCAACATGGTAATTTGAAATGTACAATGTGTTCCTTTGTACGGACTATTGTAGTATAATATCCACATGGTGTGGCCTCCATGTACTTATTCTTTTGCCTGTAGATTGTGAGTTCCATGGTTTCTGTTGTCGTCAAGCATGAAATGTCGGCGTGATTTCCACCTTCTTGTATTTTGCCCATAGACACAGCAGCCTGACCCAACAGCGAACCTTACCTTCAACCTTCGGCTCAGCGAAGAGGAGAAAGTGGCCAAGGATAACCTTGTACTGCCATATCTCAAGTAAGCACTGGAGCATTCTGTTTGGGCTGTGATGATGTCGTTCAGTGTTGACGGCTTATTGATTGATAAATAATGGAGCAGAGAAGAACAGGTTTCGATTGTACCTCTACATTTGAGCTTTTCTTGTAGTTATGACATTGGTGTGCTCAACTGATACCAAGTTATCGTACTGCAGCAATGCTGGATTGTGTATCTGTTTCGTCTTTTCATTATTTTTTTTTCTTTCATGTGTATGTGTTACAGTGCGGTAAATACATTCTTTTGCACGTCCTTCATATACAGCAGCCATCTCAGTTGCCGATTATTTTTTCTTTTCAACATTCCATGAGAAATGATCAAAAGGAATTATCACTATACTCTTAATACTCACATTTTGTTAAAAAGTTTGAGATGTTGCGATTTTACTTTTGGGGATCTGTTTACGCCATCAAGCTTCTTGAATATGCAATGTGTGCAGGACGGCATCTTCCAGCAAAGGAAAGGGGGAGATCACATACGTCATGGAGCGGGAGGATGATTTTGACGAAGAAGATGATCCTGATGATGACTTGAATTTCTGATTACCGCACTTTGTTTTGCTCTGGTTGTGTAAATAGACAATGCTTCTTTTGTAGTCCCGTTTCTGTGTTGCATTAATTTCTGTGGTAGCTCACCTGAATATACAAGAAAGAGGACGCACGTGGTTGGTGCATCATTTGCACACAAAAAATGCTTAGCTAATACAAACATAAAAAAGCAGCGCGACATAAAAAGGAATCTTGGCAAGTCTTCTTGTGAAGCTTTGCATGCATGAGTAATTGAGTGGGTGTACCGGCGTGGTGCTATGGTTTGGTGTTTTAATTTCTAGACTTTCTGCAATGTTCACATAGACTGTGTGATAAATGTGAAACGGATGTTTTGTGAAGACATGTGCGAATATTTGAAGGTATATTACGGTATTTTAATTAGCTTTGACATGAATTGACAATATAAGAGATTTTGAAGTGTTCAAAATGAATGAATAACGTGTAGTAAATGTGCTTTCACTGCGGTATAGCAATGCTATTCCACAAAAACTAGCCCGAAAAAAACTGCAGTGCGGCAAAGCCCATTTCAAGATTAAAAAACATTTTACCTCATGCCGATCAATCGGTGATCAATTTTCAAGTTCAAAAGCTTGTTAAATGGGCTTATATGTTCTAAATGTAGCAAATTTTAAAACGTGACATATTTTATTACTTCTCACTTGGATGGTAATGAAATTAGTTGCTTCCATTTCACTTTTGAACCAAAAAGAGTTACATTCTCATGTGCTTTGTAATTACAAAAGCTCATTTTTGCTCATTTTTCTTTATAAATGGAATATATGCTATTTGAAATATTTGGTGCGAAATTATTCTACCTGTGAAGAAGAAGATGTGCCTGCAGCGAGCAGCATCGCCAACGCCTGGCTCTCTCGGCTCGTGCTTCGGTTCGTTGCTGTGCCGATCGCTGGACGGTTCTTGACGCTGTCTCGTCGCTGTCTTTAACGGCTAATAAACCTCCTCACATTTGGTGGAAGGTGCTGTTAATCCCCGTTGCTACACCCTGGAGCTGCGAAGCCGCACGCTACCACCTGTCATGACTGCCAACGCCACTACATCGACGCCTTCGCTCCAGTTCAACTGCCCTGGCCATCCTAAACTACGGGAGCCGAAGGTCTTCAGCGGTGCGGATGGGACCGACGTCGAAGACTGGCTCGAGCACTATGAACTGGTGAGCGCCAACAATAAGTGGGATGAAGCCGACAAGCTGGGCCACGTGATATTTTATCTCACTGGCGTCGCCGAATCGTGGTTTAATAACCACAAACACAACATCCCCACATGGAGCGTCTTCAAGACGTCATGTGCTGAAGTGTTCGGTCGGCCGGCTGTCCGCAAGCAGAGGGCAGAACAGCGCTTGCGCGTCCGCTCTCAGCAGACTGGCGAGACCTTTACCAGTTATATTGAGGACGTCGTCGACCTTTGTCGACGTGTGAATGACACCATGCCCGAATCCGACAAGGTCAAAAACATACTGAAGGGCATCGACGACGGCGCATTTCAAATGCTTTTGGCAAGGAATCCAAGCACAGTTTCTGAACTCGTCAGCTTGTGTCAGAGCTACGACGAGTTGAAAAAGCAACGCACTCTGACTAGGCAGCCTCAGCCTGGTGGTGAGTCGCTGTCCAGCTTCGACTCCATGCCCGACAATTCACCATTGCTGCAGCAAGTCCGAGTCTTCGTCCGTGAGGAAGTCGCCCGCCAACTTTCCCTAGTGCCCTTTACTCACGAGACCACCACCCGTCTACCTGCCCCGCTTCGCACGGCTATATCGGAAGAGGTTGCACAAGCTGTTCCTCGTGCGCACTACGAGCCACCTCTATCAAGCCGTGGTCACTGCCCGGGTGTCGCACAGCCGGTAGGCGCTCCTGTCGCCTATCCGCCAGCTGTTCAGCCTGTGGCCGCGCCCCTAACCTATGCAACGCAGCCTGTGGCTCCGCCTGTCGCCTTTTCACAAGAGATGCAGCCCGTAGCCGCGCCGCTCACATATGCAGACGCTGTACGTAGGCTCCCGCAACCACCCTACACCACGCGCTCACAGCCCGCACACCCGGTTGCTTATACTGCACCTTGGGCGGCAGCACCAGTCGCCAATTCCTGGAGAACGCCCGATAACCGACCGATTTGCTACGCTTGCTTCACTCCCGGACACGTTGCTCGCTACTGCCGCCGTCGACCTCAGACGTTCGGAAACTATGCCCGGTCGTCGCATCCCGGCAGCCAACCCTTCGTCCAATACGGGCCGGTCTCGCCACCTCGCTATGCGCCTACTGACCACCTAGACTTTCAGCCGCAACGCGCACCCTCTCCTCGTCGGCGATCGCCCTCCCCCATGCGTCGCCGGCCCGGACCCTCCGACCAGGAAAACTAAGCAACGCAGTTCAAGAGGCAAGAACTGCGCCGTTTTCGAACTGTCTAAGCCCTCGCTCCTCTCCTGCTAACGTGGTCGCAGTAACTGTTGAAGGTTATTGTACTTTCGCCCTTGTGGACACTGGCGCCGCTGTTTCTGTTATTGCCGCTAATCTCTGCCGTTTATTACGCAAAGTAACGACGCCGCTTTCGGGACTGTCGCTTCACACCGCAAGCGCACAGCAAGTAACGCCTCTCGCAGCCTGCACTGCAAGAGTCTCCATCGAAGGCATTCTTTACATCGTGGAGTTTATTGTTCTTCCTGTCTGTTCGCATGACGTCATCCTCGGGTGGGACTTCCTATCCCGCCATAATGCCGTCATTGACTGCGCACGCGCCGAAGTTGAGTTTTCGCCCTTGTGTGATGTCCCATTACTGGACGCTCCTCATCAGCCGCCGAAGTTGCTCGTTCTTGAAGATACCGATATTCCGCCTGGAAATTTCGCCCTTGTTCCCGTTTCATGCAAGGCCTACACTGACGCTACAGTTCTTTTTATGCCTTCCGATATCTTCAAATGTCGTCGAGCTTTGCCGCTGCCTTTCGCAACAATTGACCTTGCCGCCGGAAGAAGCAACATGTTCGTAAGCAATCCGCTTTCCACACCTGTCACATTGCTTGCGGGGGAATGTCTCGGCCGCGTGCAGGATCTCGACCCTTCCTTTTTGTTTGATGTCCCGGACGACTACTGCGACCACCCAAAAGCACTGTCAGCACTTGGGGAGTCGTCCAATGATATGTTTTCCAGCGCCATCGCTGACACTCTCACTCCCACCGAACATGCCGACCTGCTGGATCTTCTCCATGAGTTCAGGAGTTCGTTCGATGTGTCGCAACCTCAACTGGGCCGCACATCACAAGTCAAACATCATGTTGACACCGGCCTACACCAGCCACTGCGTCAAAGACCATACCGTGTCTCCGCTGAAGAGCGCCGCGTCATCAACGATCAAGTCGAAGATATGCTTCGTAGGGACGTCATTCGACCATCTCACAGTCCCTGGGCGTCTCCCGTCGTCCTGGTGCGTAAGAAAGACGGATCTATCCGATTTTGCGTGGACTATCGTCGTTTGAATAAGATAACCCGCAAGGACGTCTATCCTTTGCCGCGCATTGATGACGCCATTGACACCCTTCACGGAGCGGAATTTTTCTCGTCGCTAGATTTGCGGTCTGGCTACTGGCAGGTCCCAATGGCAGAAGCCGATCGCCAAAAAACGGCATTTATTACACCAGACGGACTATATGAATTTAACGTCATGCCCTTTGGGCTTTGTAACGCGCCTGCCACGTTTGAACGTCTTATGGATAATACGCTACGTGGCCTCAAATGGAATATGTGCCTGTGTTACCTCGACGATGTCGTGGTTTTCTCCCATGACTTTCCTACGCACCTCCTTCGCCTCAGGCACGTTTTGAGTTGTCTGACCAACGCTGGTCTGCAGCTTAACCTAAAAAAATGCCGCTTCGCTGCACGCGAGCTCGTCATCCTAGGCCACATCGTGTCCAAGCACGGCGTATTACCAGACCCAGCAAAACTTCGAGTAGTCGCAGAATTTCCCAAGCCGACGACCATGAAAGAACTTCGCAGCTTTGTAGGCCTATGCTCCTATTTCCGGCGCTTTGTTCGCAATTTTGCATCTATCATGTCACCGTTAACGCAGCTTCTTCGCGGTGACGTGAACCTCACCTCCTGGTCCCCTGCATGTGACGTTGCCTTCGCTACTCTGCGCCGTCTGCTTACTTCCCCACCTATTCTTCGCCACTTCGACCCGACGGCTCCTACCGAAGCGCACACCGACGCCAGCGGCGTCGGGCTAGGCGCGGTCCTCGCTCAACGAAAGCCCGGCTATTCAGAATACGTTGTAGCCTACGCTAGCCGCACTCTGACGAAAGCCGAAACTAATTACAGCGTGACAGAAAAAGAGTGTTTGGCTCTGGTGTGGGCGCTTGGAAAGTTTCGGCCGTACTTATACGGCCGCCCGTTCGATCTAGTAACTGATCACCACGCGCTTTGCTGGCTTTCCACATTGAAAGACCCTTCTGGCCGCCTTGCGCGATGGGCACTCCGCATCCAGGAGTACGACATTCGCGTCGTATACCGCTGCGGACGCAAACACTCTGACGCTGATGCCCTGTCCCGCTCACCTTTGCCACCAGATCCGACGTGCGGAAACACGTGCCTCCAGTACTTGTCATCGTTAAATCTTGAATCAATTGCCACCGAACAACGTCGTGATCCGTGGATCGCCTCTCTTATCGAATATTTATCTGGCACGCCCAACCTTCCAGTATCTCGATCCCTCCGACGTCAAGCTCTCCATTTCGCCATCCGCGATCAACTTCTTCATCGACGCAACTACGCTCCCGATGGCCGCCGGTGGTTGCTGGTCATTCCACGCACTTTATGATCGCAAGTATGCGCCTCCCTTCACGACGATCCGCAATGTGGCCACGCCGGAGTGTTCAAAACATATGAACGCCTTCGCCATCGCTATTACTGGCGCGGCATGTACAATTTTGTACGTAAATTCGTGCAGTGCTGTCCTGACTGCCAGCGACGTAAATCAACACTGCCACGTGCGACTGGCGCATTGCAGCCACTTCCATGCCCTGCCAAGCCATTTGATCGCGTCGGCGT